AAAGAGTTCAGGATCTGGGCATGTTGCTTTCCTCAGTCTTAAAGATCCCTGGCAAAATCACGCATCGGCTTCCTCAGCTGATCTGCTGCCCTTGCACGTTCAGAGTGTCTCGTGCTGCCTTGTGCTGTGCTCTGCGCAGACCAAGGGACCTCCAGGCTGCACAGGACCCAGCGAGCAAACCCCGCTCAGGGCAGCTTTTGACCTCAGCATGGCAGTGAACCATTATTCCACTGACTGTGGCTCACTGAGACCTTATACAGCATATGATGGCAGCTGTATAGGTTGTTACATATAGGTACATGTGCATTTATCTATAAATATGTTATGTTTAGTACTTTCATGTGAGTTAAAACCCTCCACAGATATCCTTTCGGGTCTCTGCTGTAATACTTTCACCTAATTTAGCCAATACAGAGTTCAGACAGAGTTTACTGTTAGTGTCTTTGGATGCACACAAAGCTCCCTTTTGTATTCTAGCGTCCATACTTTCAGCTGCTACAGTAATTGTACTAATGAGGTTTAGTCTTTAAGAAAACTGCTGGATTTTCTCCAGAAGAGCACTCAAGAGTTAAAGACTGAATCAGAAGTTTTCACTGTTAATCTAATCTTCAGAACAGCTTCACTGTTACAGAAATAATAAAATGCTGATGCTGTGCAGTAAAGTGCCTGGATATACTCATCGAATCATGTTAATGGAGAAAAGTTTCCCTTAGGCGGTGGTCTGTGCCATGTGTCCCACTAAGTAGAGCTGTGCTAATAATTGACTTTACATATGTTGATTGAACTGTAGAATAGAGGATGTTTAGGTTTGGCTTGGACAGAGCATTTCTTTCAGGTATTACTTTGTAAACAGCAGGAAAGAAAGAAGGAGGTAGCAGCTCTGCCTTTAACCTAGGAAAATTCAACAAAGGTACAGGAGTCCCTGAGATTCTGCTGGGTCCTTTTTTTTTATTTCAGTGATGTGAGAAATAGTGCCGGTCCTGTGACCGTCCTGTTGAAGTGCTTTCCATTTGTTCATGCTTGCAGTAATTTTAGGGCATGTTTCCCTTTTCTGATTTCAGTAACAAAAGAAGCAGTCTGGTTTTCCTGAATCAGAGGAGTTTATGGGCTTAACTTGCATCATGAATTCCGAGAAATAACAGAGGAAAGAGAAAGATGAATGAGAAGTTCTTCAGTATCAGAATTTCCGGTTTCTGAGTATCTGTTTTTCCAGATGTCCGAAAACTATACAAACTTGACTTTTGTGGGAGCAAACTCATGGCCCTCAATAAAGAAAACTTGTTTGTGTGCAAAGGAAAACAATGTGCAAAGGTTAGTGTTTCTGTTTCTGAAAAATTGTACTCAGACAAATGGATCATGAGGACCAACATCGATGGAACTCACAGCCATGTCTCTCAGAAGATTTGAACAATAAATTCCCAGCATGTTCCCTATACTTTTATAATTTGATTATCATATAGAGACAACTGACATTCCTGGGTTGTAAATAAATGCGACTGGAGGAGGAGATGAGCAGTGTACGAAATGCATCCAATTTCGCTTTTGGTTGCGTGCTCTTGGAAACTTTCCTAGATTCTTGTCCAACAGTTTAAACTTAATTTAGAGTTGGAAGATGTAAAATGCACTTCTTATTTGTTACAATAAGAGTTTGGTGACTGTAAACAATGCTCTGCAAGCAAACACCAGCAGAAAGAGGCATCCTCTTGAGGACGTTGCAATGTAATTTGGACAGTGTACAGAAAAAGGCAAAGGAGGACGTTTAGGACACTAGCATGACAATGCCTCATGTCTGGTGTGTGTTTAGGGTTCTGTTAGTTTATATCTTTAAAAGATGAGATGAAGAGCGATACAGTGAGGGTCAATACCTTAGTCAGCTTTTCTTTGTGGAGTAGAAATGTCTGGATTTCTGTCCAATGATGTTCATTTCTTCCCTTCAATCATTAGAAAGCAGCACTGAAGAAAAGCAGGCATGGAGAAAACACAATGCCTGAAATGCCGTTCATGCCACAAACCTACTCTTTTGCTGCAGACAAGGCAGCAACCTTGTTTTCTTTAGTCTGGCCCTGGACTGTCATGAATCCTGCTTCAGCACAGACGTCTCCACCTTCTCAGAAGATGGCTCCTTGATTTGCATCTCCAACTTCATTCTGCTGAATGAAAAGCATATGTACAGCATGTGTAGATGCTGGTGCTCTTTGGGATTGTCTCCTTACCTCCAGGATCCTGAGACTGGTTATGAGGGCTGGCTTTCAACCAGCAACCAGCTTGCTTTTCCTCAAACATGACTGATACCAGTCATCATCTGAAACTAGCTTCACTGACAGAGAAGCAGGCTCTACACATGGTAGCTCAGTGTGTCAAGAACATTTTGGAGCTTGAGGTAAAATTACGTTGGCATAGTGCAATACACTGCTGCCAAAACAAGCAAAGGTGCACGCTGTCCCCAGCAAGGCTGAAGGAGAAGCTCCTGGTGCCTCCAGAGCCCACCCTGGTCCCTTTGGTCACCAGATGATGGGATTAGACCAAAACTGCCCTGTGTACTCTCCCCACCAACTCAGCCCAATGGCCGAGACCCTTCAACACCTCTGCAATAACCTATCTGCAAAGGCAATTTCTTCCCAACTCCTTCACTTAGTATTTAGGCTCTGCTCTTAAAATGTGAGGACTTCCATCCTTTGATGATTTCTCACCCATAAGGAAGCTGTGGTGTTCACTTCCACCTTATCAATGCCTGTACCTCAGATGTTAATTAATTTTCAAATTTGGTCTCTTGGTTGAAGATTTGGAAAAAAAGGTAACAGCACCCCAACAATATAAAGGACAATTTAAAGATACTGTACCTGTTTATTAGTTAATAAATGGTAATTCTGTTAACAATTACAATTCTAATTAAAATCTCCTTGAGTATACCGTGGCCTGTAAGGGTCTTTAAGTACCTGAGCTCCTTTTCATGCTGCATAAAAAGCCCTTCACGCTGGCAGCAGAGGACCAGAGAGTCCTTGCAGTGAAGTGCTACGTGTGGAGATTTATACCACGGCAAACTGCACTCCCAGACAACGATGATAAATGTGAAGGTTTTGAGAAACAAACCAACAGACAAGTAGAAGTCACAGTCCTGAGCTCCAGCATGTGAACAGCTAAGCAGCCTCTCACATGGGAGGGTCAGTGCAGACTGGGTAGCATAATATGGTCAAAGTTTGGTGTTACACCAACAAGACTGTAAAGGTTACACATTGAAAGAGAGAATGAGGCTCGGGCTTCATTTATGTATCTAGAAGGGTTTGCCTGTGGGAGGCATCTCCTAGTTGGAATAGGTCATAACCATGTCTTGGCCTTCCTAGACATGGTCTGGGAGATGACACTCTCTCTTACCTTTCTCACCTCTTCCAGGTCTCCTTCTTGGCAGCACAAAGGTACTTTTCCAGATACAGATGTTTGACGTGCTGAGTTGAAAACCAAAATTGATGAAAATTTGGAGACTGGAGTTGAATTCTCCATGGCATTTGATGAAAGTAGATGGACAAAATCCACTTGAGCCTTGAGTCTGTTGGTACTGAGTGGTCAGGGTTTCCAGCCCTGCTATGAATTTACTGGGAAGAGCTTTCCCAAAAACCACCAGAATGATGACTCTTTAAGTGTTATACTATAATTTCTCAAAAATGAAACATGAAAGTCATGTAGGGATTGAGAAATTTTACAAGATCAGCAGTGTCTTGAAATGGGGTGAAATAAAGGGTCACATTAGAGCTGTGGAGGCTTGTTACACATGCCAAGTATATTCGCCAAGACAGATAGCGATGTGGAGACCAAGAAATTATTCCCCAGGGACAGTGGTTTTATCTTGGACAAAAAATGTTTTTCTTGGACTAGTCTCACTTCCCTGAGATAACCTTACGGGAAGATACAACACCACTGCAAAAAAGACAGTCTAGTCTATCAAATCCATTTCTTGAGATATGATACATGAAATTGTATTACTGAACTATGAGATAAAGTTTAGTGGGTGAAAGTTCAAAGTCTGTACTGAAATACAGGTGTAAATCTGCGCAGGTGAATTCCCCTTCTCCCAATCCAGCTGGAAAAGGATCAGAGACAACCTCTTTTAGAAAGACAGGCAGATGTGGAGCTGTTATCTTTAACTTTTTAAGTGCAATGAGAACTGTATAATTAAGAGGCTTTTAAAGAGCTAGCTGGGGCCAGTTGCACTGTGTAGCAATTTGTGCTGCTGATGGCTGCTCTGTTAGGAATCAGGTCTGGTCTTACTCAGTAGCTGTTCACTTCATGGGTGCCATGGTTGCTGATCAATATGGGCTGGACTCCAGAGCTTTTAGCTCTGATGTTTTGCAGAAGTGCGCTGCTTTATTCAAGGTATTCTGTTATGCTTTTTTACAGAAGGTGTATTGTGTGGACACTGGCAACATTTAATGATGAAAAAAGTAAAGAAGCAGGATTGTAATAAACTGTAAGGTAAAGTAAGAGTAAATATGAAGGTTGCAGCTTTGTGTTTTGTATTTAGCTTTTACTTTTCTGAGCAGTCTTACGGAAAGAGAATACCCCAAGTTTGCAAAGTAGGATTGATGTTGTAATTTTCGCAGTGATTCACCACGTAGGCTGCCTTTGTTTTGTAACTTGCTCTGTGTGGCAAGAATGTGAAGACAATAAGCAGTGTAGAGATTTCACTTTGAAGTGCTCCAGCAGTGAATGCGTTAAATGTTTTCACCAGAGACTTTAAAAAAAAAAAAAAAGGGCATATGGTGGCTATGCCAGAAAAAGTTTACTTTATAAAAGAGTGAAAAGCCTCTCACACATGGCAGCAGGAAAGAAAGAGTAGACCATTTCCTTTGTAGCAGTTTGTAATCTTAAAAAGAGGGCTGAGCCCACTTGAGCGAGACCTCCCTCCCGAAACTGCCGGGATCCTCTCCTTCCACCCTGAGCAAAGCAGGCGCCTTCGCGAAAGGAGGAAAAGCCTCCCGGCTGCCTCCAAGGGCGTAGGACTAGCCATGTCTACGGGGAAGATCTGCTGCTTGGTGCTGCTGACCCTGGGGGTGCTGGCCGTGGTCGTGGCCCTCGTGGTCATCCTGACTCAACCCAAGTGCGGTCCTCAGCGCTACCTGCACGGTGCCGTGGCTGCTGACACCGAGACCTGCTCTGTCATCGGCCGGTATGTGCACGGACCTCGCGGTTTTTCGGGTTCTATGTCGGGGACTCAGACTGACGGACAGGACGCGTCCTCACTACGGGAGCGAGCTGGGTTTCTGCCCCGTCCCCGGTTCTGGGGCTGAGCAGCAATGCTGCTCCCTGGGTGCTCTCCCTCGGTAGCGGAGCAGCTCAGAGAGCAGATGGAGCCCTGCCTCTGCGGTTGATGCTTATTTTCCTTATCCAATGTCACATAAAAATTGCAGCAAATTGGCCTTTTGGAAGGTACAAATATTTATAGTGTACAAATACAAGGTTGTTTTTAAGTAGGGAAGCGGGAAACTAATTGTTTATTTCATGGTGGTAAGCGGCTTAGAAATGAATTAAGGAAGAAGTGAGAGGAGCTAGCAGAGAGCCGCAGCTGGGCTTCCGCAGAGGCAAGGAAGGCAGGCTGGCTGAGTGGGTAAGGGGGACTGGGCATCCCAGCCTTTAGGGTGTGTGTTTCTGGACTGAAGCCTGCAGCAAGTGTGTCTGCTATCGAGGAAGACACTCTGTATTGGAAAGCAGAGAGCAGATTTAATCGAAATTCAGCTAAGATAGTATAAGTACAAAAGACATACTTACATTGCTTGGAAGGAAAGATGGAGGTTTAAAAAAACTCTCTAGCTGCCCAGGTTGTAACGCTTCAGTTTGTGTAACAACTTCTCTCTCAAACATTTTGACTCCTAGGTTATTACTTTACCATTACTGTACTTCAATTCTTAAACATTTGCATATATGAAAGTAGAAGCATGGAACTTCACAAGCTACATGTGATGCTGGATGCTCCAGCAATGGATGCTGGAGCTGTGTGCTCTACCTTGTGGCTGGAGGAGTGAGATCAGACGTAGTGCCCTTACACCATGCTTGCCATGTCGCACATGGGGTTCTTGAAATGACATGCTGACACAGCATTTGTGAGTAGTTGGGGAAAATGTACTGTGGCTGCACATATGTCAAGGAACGAGATGGGGTTTTTTTATGCTATACATTATGGGATTATCCAAAGAATCTGCTGGAAAATGACAGCACTTGTTTTGCAGCTATTGTAATTTTTATCAGCTGGAAGGGGCTGAAGTGAGAGCCACAAAAATCTGTGGTGAGGTAGACAGCTGAGAAGCTTTGGCTAGCTGGTTACTGCTGGACTGTCATCTGTTTTCTTCCCTCTCTCCACAAGAAGCTCCACCTGCTTCTGTAGCCTCAACCATTGCTGTAGCTAAGCCTCCAACACACTTGCTGACAAGGTCTGTGGAGTCCCTCCAGTCTGACAGACCACCTTAAATTTCCTACAAATAGTTTGCCAATGATCCCCACAAAACTCTGCCCTTTCTCCAACTTCCCATCACACATTTTTGCCCAGCCTGGGGCATCTGCAGGTCATGTCCTGCTGCTCCAAATGTATCCTCTCTCTCTCCCCCAGCCCTGCCAAGCCCCCTGGATCTCCCCAGCCAAGACTATTCCCCTCCTTCACCTTGGCTCTGCACTGCTCACTCTCTGCCCGATGGTTAGCTCTACTCCCTTACTGTTACACGCTGTCTGCTGCTTTTCCTGGTGTCCTTTGCCTCCAGCCGTTCTTGGAAACCTTGTGCTCATTTCATGCTGTCCTTGTACTTTGAATGAACCAACCTCCTGTGTTCTCCCAGCTTGACCTATCTGCTCATGTTCTTGCAACAGACCATAACAGAAGAAGTAAAACTGTATAAAAATGTTCCTCTGCAACAGAGCTTGTGATCAGAAGCTTTGTATAACATTTGCCCCTTTCTTTGTCATTGTCATATTTGTCTTTGTCCCCACTGGCCCACAGTGGTAGCTTGTAAGGAAGGAACGTCTTTTCTTTGGAGGAAGCTTACTGCATGCTCTGTACCGCACGTGATCTTGTTCATTTTCTCCCAGACATTTCTGTGCTTTTATATCTGTATATCACATTTTAGCTCTTAGCTATTAGCACGTGATAGTCACCACTAAATTAATTCCCATAGCAATCTGCAAAGTGAGAAAATGATGTTATATCTCACTGGTATAAATAAGGAAGTCTAACACGGCAATTATCTGCATGGATGCCACATCAGGGTCACTTTGACCAAGGTCTCTGCCTTTCAGAGCAATCTCCGCTGCTCAGGGTACATCTCACACTGACCTCCTGTGTGACTCTGCAGGGTGAGGGCTTCCTTGAGCCTGACCCAGAGGTCTTGACGGCAGCATCAGTAGCTGAGGACCATACAGAGGCCTCCTGCTTAATCTTTGCTGAACAAGATTTTAGCGTCACATGGGAATTTTGTCGCAGCAGTAGCAATAAAATCCAATTTCTCAGAGTCATCTTAGCCATTTGGCCCTGCTGTCCCCACCTGTGAGGTGCCACTTCATTTGCCACTGAAGTTCAGCAACAAAGCGAGAGCAAAGCCAAGCATCCTTCAATGCGTAACTCTAACTCCTTCCTGGACACTGCCCAGCCAGTCAACTGAGTGCTTCTGAGATTACAACAATGCTCTTGACTTCTGCTGCTCAAAAATAATTCAACTCCCGAGTTCATGAGACTTAGGAAAGATGAAACAAGAAGAAATAATTAATCTTGGGTTTTTCTTTTTCTTACTAAGTACTGTATTTAGGTCTTCACTCTTCTTCTGCAGTTATGCAAACGTTTGCGAATTTTTACACTGGTTGTTTGGACCTGGAATACTGTAAAGATTTGAGGAGCTAGGCGAGCAATCATGAATGGTGAGATTCCCAAGGGCACAAGAGCCGGGACCTGTACTGCGGCTCCCGAATCCCTGCTGGCCCCTTTGCTGCCTGTGCTGCTGCTGCTCTTTCTCTTCTGCCTAATGACTGCCTCACCCCAGCTCTGTGGCTGCTCCTTCCCACACGTACCCATCTCCCTGTGCTGGTGTTTGAGCCTGTGCCGTCACTACTGGTCTTCTCGTGCTACCAACACGCCACCATCCCCGCTCCCAAATTGCTCAACCTTATGGGCTTTCTCCTGCCCTGATCCTGCCTCCACAGCTCAGCCACCTCACTCCTCTCCCGTCTCCTCTGTTTGAGGCAGGACATGGCCACTATCCTTGCTCGTGGTCCAGCCTGGGGAGCACTGAGTACTAAGGATAATAATCTCCTTGTTTTTTCCATGCCCCAAAGCTGTGGCTGTTACCAGATGCAGTTTTTTTGAGGAAGCTGTGCTTAGCCTCTGCAGCTCAGGGTTGGAACAGGCTCATTTCCGCTATTATTGCTTAGAAATCACAGGAGAATTAATCTACCAAAACCGGTTAATTCACTGATGACCACACACATATGCATGTTTGTATATATAAAAATAAGTAAAAAAATTTGTATGATCAAAATTTTTAATGATCAGGGTTTTTTGTTTTGTTTTGTTTTGTTTTGTTTTTCCCCAAAGCAAACAATTTGGCCAAATTAGAGTGAATTGTTTGAACTGGAGGCAGACTACATCTCTGGTTTTGTACTTGCACATTTCAGAACCACCTAACAAATTTCTAGAGGAGTTTAAAACAAGTAAAATAAGATAAAAGAACAAATTTCCTCAATCTAACTTTTTGGTAATTGCTGAATACTTTTAGTGGAAACATACAAAAAGGAAAAGAGTGACCTCCAGCACCACGGGAAAAACAATTAGGCTCGGTGGCTTGGGTACGGCAAAGCTACAATCAAATGAAAACCACATGTTGTAATTGAACCTGTCAGCCTGCCCGCCCCATGGGTGAGAGCAGGAGTCATTGCAACTAGTCCCTAAAGTCACATCACAGAGAGATTCAACAGTGCCGGTTTGTCCCTGCTCTCCCCCACTGACCCCGCAGACCCTCTCTCTGTCGGGACCCTGGGCTGCCCCCCCGCCGCCACCCCTTTCATCCTACAAATCCCCCCCGAGCTCCCAGGAACCCATGTGGGGGATGCTCGGAGAACCTCCAGTGCGGGATGGGAATGAAATCAATCGCACTGCTCTGGCGCCTAAAGTCTTGGAAGCTAAAAGCGGCACCTAATCTCTGACCTACTTATAAATTTTATTCTTTAATTAAAAAATCTTGTTTCCTTTAAAAAAGAAAAGAAACTCAAACCACATGCTCTGTGAGTTGTCATTAGTAGTAATGAAATTCCTGTGGCATTACATGATGCTGTGTTAGTTTAAGATGCTGCTGTTTAAGACAGAGTCTTTGTGGGCTCCTAATAGAACTTTCACTTGAACTTATTGAGAATAACTGAACTGAACCTCTTGCCTGAAGACCAGTCTTGTCTTTTAACAAGTGGGATGGTGGGTTGGGGAAAACACCTCAAGGCCCTTGTGTTAGAAGGGTCGATGAAGGAACCGCGTGCCTCTAATACGTTAGTACAAGCAGGAGATGGGGGACAGACTCGCAGCCCCTGTTTGCTGCTCTTTTTCTTCAGTTGTGCTCAGCTGTCATCTTCAGGCTTGGGTTTTCCAGCTCTAGAGTTGGTGTTTGTATATTCTGGGGCTGTGTAAGGTTGGACTTTCTGAAATCTTTATGCAACTCTTTGGCTCCCTGCAGAAAGTGAGCAATCTCAGCAAGCCTCCAGCGTGTCCTCATCCTTGTTGGCAGGTCCTGTGCTAGACTTGCTCTTAGCCATCAGTGCTGAACAAGGTTGGGTCTTTTGCTGCAAGTGGTTTTACTGCTGGGATTTGGGGACTGAAAGCAATGTTGTGCAACTGTCCGGTCCAGACGGGGGCCCTGTGCTGGAAGAAAACTTGTCCCTGAATGAAGTGAAACACTTCGCTGAAGAGGGGTCAGAGGCTAAAAGGCAAGTCAGAGCAGTTTTTAACCCAAGGATGTGGATTTGATATCAAAGTCCACCTCAGTAATTTGTCCTCATGTCAAGAAGCCATGAGGAGACAGAAGGAGGTGACTGCTCTGGCAGTGAGCGGTACCCAAACCCACCTTCACCTCCAACTCTGAGCCACTTCTTCCCTCCTGGCAATGGAAGAGGCTTTTTCCATCAACCAAGCAAAAAGCTTTATATTCCCTACCAACGTGCTGTCTGAGCTCTGCCATCCACTGCTCTGCAGCCGCTTGTTTCCCAAATGGCAGAAGCAAGAGCCAGCGTAAGGCCAGGGAGAGATTTAGGAAAAGTGCTCATTCCCAACGATGGGATTCGCTGCAGCAAGGCGAGCCGACCTGAGCTGGCCCAGCAGCTGTCTCTGATCCCACTTCTCCAGCATAGCTTAGCATTAACCCTGGGAACTGGCTTTTTCTAAAACAAACACCCGCCTGGGGGATAGGGTGGTGGGGAGAGTGAGAATGGTGAGAATTTAACAGTCAGAAAATGTCTGCGGTCCTGGGAAGCTCAGTTCTAGGCAGAGAAACTGCTGCAAAAATCCTTTTCAGTGATGCCCCAACAGCGTTTCTGATCAATGTTTACATCCCAAAGGATTTGCTTTCCCTTCCTCTTGTATTTTAACAGTTTTAAATTTGGCAACTGGCCCTTTTTTACAGAAACAGCTGTTGCTTTTGCTCTTCATAAATCTTAAGCAGGCAGCTGCTATATAACGGGTGGGCTCCCAGGCCCCAGCTTTCTTTAGCAGAAAAAAAAAAAAAAAATTTAATACCTTAGCATTTCCAGTGTATTTAAAATGGCTTCAAGGCTCCTTCTAGCCCAGGGCAGACCAGCAGACTTGGTCTGCATCCCAGCACAGCCCATCTTTGCTGTGAGGACTGCGTGAGTTCAGTGCCATCATTCACCCTTCCTGGAAAGGTGAATCTGTTTTGCTGCTGCTGGAGCGGGACTTGGTTGTTAACATCCTCTCCTGCTCCTGACTTGAAGGAAACTCCACTAATGGCCAAACCCTGAAGCTAAAACTGAGTGGCAGGAAGGATATAGGACAAAACATGTTGTTATCAGATCTGGTCAGCTGTAGCACTTAGATATCTCGAGAAAGAGATCTAGTAAGATACCACAATTTGATTGAGAGCTCATGTGTCTCTAAAGGGTTTTGCATTATAATTAAGCTAGTTGTAGCAGTGATCCCTATAAAGGGAGCACCCTAATGGGACAGGGTGTACTCTGCCAGTATAGCTAAGTGAAAAAGCCATACTGGCGCTAAATTCCCCAGGCATCACTTCCAAGGAAGTGGCAGGGCTCTGGCTGAAAGTGGGTGAGCCAGGCATGGGGAGCCAAGTGTGGTATACCAAGAGCCAGCTCAGAGAGTGTTTTTTTTTGTTGTGTTTCCATCTCCAGAGAGACTGGAGTGAAAGCTGTCGGGACTGGGGGGGCCAGTCTGCAGATAGCGTAGAATGGCTGTGGGCCCTGGACCCTGCACTGATGATGGGGGACACATATCAGACCTCCTGGGTAAAACAGCAAAGCAGCTCAAAAGAAATCTTGTTAATAGCCCTGATGAGGATTTGGTTTTACCCTTGCTGGGTTCAGTTGTTTCTGAGCTTGAGCTAAAAGCCTGATTTTTAAGGCTTGCTTTTCCTTAGCTACCACTGTGCCTGTCCTGCGTTATGGGACACCCCCTGTGCTGGGGTGCAAGTGAAAAACTTGACAGGCACATGCACCCCCACAGAGCCGGGGACACAACATCAGCGTGGTGTGTGAGCCCTCCAAGATGTATTTGTGAGACTTGGGGCTGCGAGTGCTTCCTGCCAGGCTGGGAAAAGCCAAGATAATGCCTAGTTTGGGAGAGAAATCTTATCTTCCCGTCCCCCAAAGAAGCAGCAGGCAAAGGACCATGCCCAGCATCACACAGCCCATCCCATACTAAGATGGTCTCAGCTGCTGCACACTGTGCTAGTGGATGGGAAGCCTTAGCTCTCCATCCCGTGGTGCTCACCGAAAGGCAGCAGGTGACTGGTAAGCCCTCCTTCCCTTGAGTAAGAAACAGGTTTGACTCTGTGTTGTTAGATGCGGTATTTGCCACCAGAGGTGACAGTGACAGTTGCCACCGATATAGACACAGTAGACAGGAATGGAGAGCACTTTTGGATTATCTGGAAATTCTGCTTTTCTTGTCATCTTGTTTACATTGCAAAATGTGGTTAATGAGGGCTAGTGACCAAGGACAAAGCAAAACATGCTTTGCTTTTCTGTGAAAAGGTGTCCCTGTGTTGGCTGCTGGTGTCGTTTTTGCTCTATATTGTGCTAACACCAAGGACTCACAGCCAAGAATCGGGGCACCACTGTGCTAGGCACAGAGCAGGAACAATAAAGACTATCTCTGGCTTTCCTGCCTTCCTGAAGCACACACAATGTCAGTCTTGGGCATGACCCATCTGTAAGTTATTGGGTGGACTAGCAGGCTGGAGTAATACTGCTCATAAATAAGCACTTGATTTGCCTTGGCCATGCCAGGCAGGATGTGTCCATCCTGGCAGCGCTGCTGAAGTCCTCTCTGCTGGCCGGTGAATGTCTTCCTCCCACTTGTCCCTTGATGCTCTCAGGAAATCTGTGTCCCTTTTGCCAATGGCAGTAACAGTCCAGGTTTCAGCTCCCTGGAGAAGTTTTCTGCACTCTTTAGCAATTAGCTACACCTTTTCTGCTGAGACTGAGACCTCATTTGTGCTCCCTGATCTCAGTGGGACCCAAGGGTACAGCTACAAACTGGAGTTTACAAGGCTTGTGTTATCCTAGCTCTATGTCTAACTGGGAATGTTGGAGGGAGGGAGCATGGCTAAGGTCATGCTAAGAAGCTCTCAGGTTTCTATGCTTTGTGCATATAGCACTGCTTCTGTGGTAGTTAAAGGGTATTTAGCCCACAATGTCGCTTCTATAAACAAATACCTGGGAACACCAAAAAATCTTAGCATCATCCAGAAACAGGCCATCTAGGCGTACAAATAATAAATTAAGAAATTGGTTAACTGTGCTCACCCTTGAGAGCATGCTAAGTTAATGCAGTTCCAGTGCAGAGCATGCTGGCTTGGGGCAGATCAGTGTGGGGGGGGGAACAGCTCATCTTTTGAAGCAGGCAGACGACCATCACCAGATGAGACAAGGAGGGATGAGGATCTTCATCAGGGAGTGCTCCTCCAGGCACAAGTGTTTCTGGGGACATGGTGAGGGTGGATGGCACTGGCTTCAGAAGAAGAGTGGCAGGAGTGTCCCAGGACAAGAGGTAGTGCAAGATGTGCAACCACTTACTTACACAACTGTGAATATGGCTGGGAACTTGGGTGAGAATCTGGTGCTTTTCAGGCTTTGGGAAAATGTGTCTGATGTTCCATGTTAAGGCCTTAATGCATTGCATTGAAATGAATACCACACAGTCTCAAAGTTTCTTTTTTAAAGTTGTTTTTCACTGCAAAGTATCTCAGAACCATGGTTTTCCCTGGCACCAGGCTTTGTACATGTGCTGCCTCACAGCCCATAATCCAGGGGCTCTGGGGCGCGCTGTCTCAGGCCAGTGTAGTGGTCCTTCTCCCCTGTTTCCCCAACTTTCTAACATTCTGTCTGGGCCTTGTGCAGGGGTAACTCAGCTTCTCATGAAGCCCTTGTGTCGTTCCCTTCTATTGTTAGGGATTAAAAAGCTTCAGTTTCAGAAAAAAAAACACCCAGGGACATTCGTGGTGAGAGTCTTACCCCTGCTGCAAGGCGATGAATGGGCGAGCCGGAGCCTCGGTCCCCATTTTCAGATCTACAGCCAGGGAGCACTTGCTGCTAGGAGGCTAAAAGTCATGCAGACCCCAAACAGAAAGCCCAGTGGTTCCCTACCATTTCTTTTCTCCCCACTTGTCCACATGCCATTTCCTTACAGGCAGCAGTTCCAAAGGCGCTTGCAGAAACAAAGGAAAGCCACAATCAGTGTGTCTGCCGGCAGCATCCTGTTCCCAGCCCCAGCAGGTCCCAGCCGCATCAATGGACATAAAATAAACAGTGGTCTCTGTACGCGCTCTGTGTTCCTGTCGCATCCTCTGGGAGCAGTTGCACTCCAATTAATGAACTATTCGACTTTCCCTTCTGGCTTTGCCTTATCTAAGCAGTATCTCAAGCCAAACAGAGAAACCTTCCTAGCAAATACCAGTGCTGGCTACCGGCAGCCTGTGCAAGGAAACCCCACCCCACTGCAGTTCCACTGCAACAAAAATGGGTTTTTTTACAGCTGTGCTTGAGGGAAGCATTTGTTGAGACATGTTTCTCTAGCAGAAACTCATTGCTATCAATGGCATGAGGCTGCCTTAATGCTTGTGTATCCTTTGGTGTGGCTGTGCCTAGGTAGAAACAGTTGAGGGTTTTTTTTTTTTTCCTGTTTGGTTTTCAGATTGTTTGTTTTGCCTTTGGGGATACAAGGACGGGCTAGGATTTTTGTGCTAATATCACATAAGCCCAGGAAGGCACACTATAGCAGCAATGAAGTAAGGCCTGAATTTTGTGCTAATTGACGTGTTAAGTCTCAGGAGTATGCTTCACACCGACCCTGCTTCAGTGCCCCTGTCCTGTTGACCAGCATATGCCTTTTTATTGGGAACAGTAGGTGGGGAGCTAGAAATCAGTTGTTTGCTTCACAGCACGTGGAAATCTCTCTCCTCTGCCGAGAGCATCCTTCTCCACGTCTGGGAGCTCCTTGCCGTCCCTTTTTGTCAACAGCTTTTGTGAGCAGCTGCGGTTCTCTCTGTCCCATCACTCTTTCCTCAGAGGAAGACCAGCCTTGCACAGGTCTGGCCCCTGGCTGCTCTTTCCTCCTGCAGACTCTCCCTTCTTTCCCACTAATTTTCCGTTCTCATTTCCACAAAGGAAGGCACCTTTCTCTACTCTCACACCCTACACTGCTGCCAGTAGCTTTCTCCAACTGCTAATTGCTCTCATCAAGCTAGGGCTGCCTTGCAAGTGCCCCAGGGAGACGTTTTCACGTGGCTCTTCCATTCCATCATTCCTGGATTTTAACACTATCTTTTTTCCTCCCTTTCCACCACAGGGACATCCTGAAAAGCGGAGGCACAGCTGTGGATGCTGCCATCGCTGGCTTGATCTGCACCTCGGTGATGAACCCTCAGAGTTCAGGCCTGGGTGGTGGGGTCATATTTACCATCTATAACGCCAGCACAGGTATGGGCCAGCCCTGGCCTCTCCAAGGTTCCCCGTCTCCCTGCAGACACCCAGCTGCTGTGGAGAAGTCAGAATCCTTCATGTTCTCTCAGAGCAATTTTTTCTGAACATAAAAGCTGCATCCTTTGATCACAAACCATGCTTTTGCTCTTAACCCAAAACATCCATTACAGGGAGAGCATCTTTTCACAGCAAGAATGTGTGTGGCAGGGGAAGGAGCTTTGGATTTCAAATGAGCTGACTTTTTACCTTTCCTTCCCCCTCAAACCAATCCCAAATTATATTTCAAAGAAGTCACATAGTTGACAGCGCAGCAAGGTGTGAGAGGGAGGCAGGCGGGAGTGGAGTGAGGCACGTGTGCTGGCAATGAGCACAGCGATATGGGCTGTTGCTGGCTGGGACTTCAGGGGCTCATCCTGCACCAGCAGCTCAGGCAGTGCCCGCCGACACGGGGGGCTGCATCTCACGCTGCCCTTGCTGGTGTGGGTAGGACTCCCTAAAGCGGCGGTGAGAGTTCCTGTCCCAGGAGATGCATCTTCACTTCAGAAATCTAAATCTAGCAATGCTCAGGACCCACTGGGAAGCCTTTCTGTGTTTGGCTGAACCCCTAGTGTTGTGTTCTTGCTTTTATGTTTTTCGTGTTGGTTGTTTTTTTTATTATTAACTGTCTTGGCTCCCAAAAGCCCCCAGAGCTTACAGATCCAAATAGTAAAATCAACAATGAACACAGTAAAAATATTGTAGTCTTAAAAACCCTGCCAAGTAGTCTCACAGAGTCACGGGTCTGGAAATGCTTGGGTGTATCTTACGCAATAGCATAATTTGGCAAAACACCTATATTTTTCTTTTTTCCCTTTTGGCAGAGACATGTAACTTTGTCTCCTATTAACAGTCCTCTTGTGCCACCTGAATTATCCTGCTGCACAGAGCCGCACATGGCCACGCATGGCGCAGGTGCTTGGTACACTAGGTAGCACCGTGGGCTCCTGCAGGACAGCTGGCTCTGCAGACTTTGATAGAAGATAAATACAAGTCAGAGAAGGAGGCAAAATAATAGGCTAGACCTGAAAAACAAGTGTATACGAGTGGGTTTTTGTGTTTTTTTTTTTCCTTTCAAGCTTCCTGATACATAGAGGGTCTTTCAGTATCACCATTCTGCTGGTAAACATGATGGACGTACCTCACCACCACTTGAAAATGGCCCACCAAGGAACATGAGGCTCATGTTATGGGTCTGATGTCCCACCTGTAGAGAAAGTGCAGGAACCTGCAAATCAGATGTGAAAGAGCACATCCCAGCCCATGTTCCCGGCCCAAAAGCCCACGGGGGCACCTTAACTGGCTGGAGACAAGCCCTGGCCTTGTGCCTGTACCTTCGTTGCCTCTAGGTAGGCACCGCTTGGTTCGCTCTAAATAAAAGCATGGGAGCCAACGACAGCGTGTGCCGACTGCAGCCTGACCCTGCAGGTGTGCTTGACACGTTTGGCAAAAGGCTTCAGGGCAATTCAGCACGGTGTGGCGGGCTCTGGGCTAGCAGGCTGTGCGGTGCTCACAGCTGGCTGAAACGTGACGTTCACCTGCTTCAGGAAGACGACGTTAAGCGTTTCCCCTTTCTCCTTTCTAGGGACAGTCGAGGTGATCAACGCCCGCGAGACAGTCCCACGAGAGTTTCCGCGGAATTTGTTGTCTCACTGTGCTGGTGGTATCCCCATTGGTAAGGACGCAGACTGGGCCACGAGAGCTGTGCGCCCTCCTGGTGTGTAGGGCACAAAGCTCAGGGTGGGGGAACCGAGGACCTTGCTGACTTTATCTGAAGTTCTATTTAACTGATCGCGCTCTTCCTGAATTGACTTTTGCAAAAGTAAGAAAAAATACTAGGTCCGTAAAAATTCCTAGTAACAATTCGTAGTACCGTTGGCAACCTGACCAGTGAGGGGGTGGGGAGCAGAACATGAGGAGAAATCACAGTGTAATTTCTCTTCATAGGAAGTCTGCATTTCAAGACCAGATCTCCCAAAGCACTCATTTCCCAGCAGTTCTTACAGAGGAAAATAACGTCAATAGCTGCTCAGACTTTCTGGAAACAAAAGAAATCAATCTAGTGGACTTGCCCATCTCCTTACATTGGGGAAGTATCCTGACAGCATCAGGAGTTGAGTTTCTGGGCTCCACCTTAGCTGAGCTACCTCGGCCCCATCTGAGGAGGCTCCACGTCCATTTGCTGTTTCCCGTTTGGCAGCAGGCACTCTCGCTTTAGCAGCACATCTTGGATCTCTCCACATTTTGTCCTGCATTCATTCCCCTTCCGTAGCACGTTTTCTTTTGGGATGTGTCCTAGTTCTTGGAAGAGATGTTCTTATCCTTGGAGGAAGAGCCCGAAAAGGAATCAGGAACAACTCTGGTTGGAAGGGACATCTGGAGGTCTCTGCTCCAACTCCTGCTCAAAGCAGAGTGATGCCAGAGTTAGCTCAGGCTGCTCGGGGCCTTGTCCTGTCACATTTTTTAACTTCTCCAAGGATGGAGTGTGTCACAGCTTCTCTTGTTCTAGTGTTTGACCAGGCTCCCCCTGCATGGCTGCTTTTTCTCTTATCTCCAGCTGCCATCTCCCATGCTGCAACATGTGCCTCTTGTGCTTTCATCATGTACCTCTGAGTCTGGATCCAGCTTCTCTATACCCCTTCTATTAGGTAGTGGAAGAAATATATGAACAGAAAAAGGAAATTTAAAACAAGCCACCTGCTTTTAGAAGCCTTAGTCCTGCCTGTACAAATCCACACTTCCATTGGAGCGCTTTCAGAGAGGTGAAACAGGCCAATGACTTACTGGGTGTGACAGTGCTGTTTTGCTTTTCAGGTTCCCTCTGGATTGGTGTACCAGGAGAAGTTCGTGGGTATGAAGAAGCCCATAAACGATATGGCCGCTTACCATGGAAAGCCCTATTTGAACCAACCATCAAGCTACTTTCAGAGCCACTTCTAATTTCCCCGGTTATGGACAAAATATTCCGTCACCCACAGTTCTCCAGAATAGGAAGAAGACTGTGGTAAGACCCATGAATTAAATTGCAGTGTGAGGACCACTGTTCCCTCATCTTCAGACCCTTCCTCTGACACGCTGACATGGAGCGCAGGCTGCTGCTGCAGCTTCTGCTCAGTAAATACTTGCTCTAGAGAGGAAGGGAATAACAGAAGTTTTTTTAAAAAACTTTCTTCTGTCAGCAACTTTTTTTTTTTTGTAATTTAGAATGGCTTGGCACAGCAAAACTGTCTGCTAAGCACATCTGCTCATGAGGAGGAGCTGCCTGTATGTGGCCTGCCTCCATCCGTGTGGAAATTGTCCCCTGACAGCAGGGGCCTACAGCAGACGCTCGTTTGGAGAAGCCCCACTGACCCAAGCCAGGGTCAAAACATTAGGTCCCGTAGAGGAAACTTTGTCTGGGGAAAGAGTGCCTGGTGCTATGGGTAGCAATCAGCTGAGAAGAACTTTTCTCCACGTGGCTGCAGTTCAGCACTAGCTTGGAAGTATACCATGTGCATAAACCAAATCAGCTTTGGGCAGGAAAAAGAGATTGGCCCTGGGGACTGAATAAGCACATGCTGTAAACTGATGGATGTTCTTCTTTAACAGCCCACTGATATGTGACGGTCAAAATTTTTTGAAGCTTGGAGACACCTTCAGGTGGCCAGCGCTGCAGCAAACACTGAAAGCTGTAGCGGAAAATGGAGCTACAGCATTTTATGGGGGACAGATAGGAAAAGCCCTGGTGGAGGACATTAGGAAGGCCGGTAGGTAACAGCTGTTGTTAATGCTAATAGACAGGCCTTTTCCCAGCAATTGGCTAACAGTGAGTTGGTACCAGGGGAAAGCCAACACATGCCATTTGCTCGCCACTTGGGGTGGTACCTAGCATGGGAAGGGGCCACCTTTCCCCAATTCTTGTAACTCAGGCCCAGAAGCAGGGCTGAGAGCCACCTACTGCTCCAGCATTCACCCACAGTGCTCATGCACTGGCCTTTCCAACGCCCTTAGGCTTTGTGATGTCCTGGGGTTTGGAGGTAGATGAGGACACATGAAGAACATTGCTGTGCTTGTTGGAAGAAATTTGGAGTATACAGGGATGGCTCTCTACAAGCTTTACCAACGCTCTGATGTAGCCAGCCCATAGCACCTTGTAGAAGTTAATGTGCTAATGCCAGCTACCCATCTGGTTTTCTCTTGAAGGGTCCAATATCTCACTGGAGGACCTTCAGGCATACAAAGCAGAGGTGTCCTCAGCTCTGAACATTACCCTGAACAATCACACCACAGTGTTTTCTCCTGGACCGCCCATGGGAGGTGCTGTGCTCATGTTCATCCTCAAGATATTGGAAGGTAAATTCCTAAGGGAAAAGGGGCAGCAAGAGGTTTGCAAAGAGTGTTGCTCTAGAGCATTAGAAAAGTAATGGGCAGAAATGGAGTTGGTGAGCCCGAATGGGCCCCAAAGCAGCAGTGTGACCATACTATGCAGCAGGATGATGCACTGGCTCATTCTTACAGTGGATCAGCATCACCATAGCTGCTGCAAAGGCCAAAGGATACACTACTTTCCCAAGGCTTCAAGAGGAATTGAAGTCACAGCAGAAATTAGTACTTGGTTGTTTCTGTGTCCGCATCCTGCTAAAGCATAGGGGAAACTTGATAAGAGCTGGGATGGGGAAAGGAGGTTGCTTTCAACTTTTTTTTTTTACAGTTCTTGAAAAAACATTGCCCTGGGTCTATTAACAAAATTATTTCATGCTGTTCTGTAGAGTATAAACTCCATGAAACATCACTGGCGACACCCGAGGAGAAGGTAGAAACCTACCATCGCATTGCAGAGGCCCTGAAGTTCGGCAACATGCTAAAACCCCATATGAGTGACCCAGCCTTCTCCAAAGCTCAGGTGAGCTGGCGTAGTGCATAGGGGCAGCCACAGACACCCACAGCACGGACAGCTGCTTCTACACTGCTGCTTGGCACAGAAGGAGCAGGGAAGTAAATTTCCTGCTTTCTTTTTTTTAAAACCTGCATTTTCACGAACTCATTTTAGCCTACGTGCTAAGCCCTCAAGCAGGCTACCCATTGCCCAGACTATCCTGCCTGCCAGCACAACGCTACGGTACCAAGCAACGCTCTGACACCCTCCTGCTTTGCAGCCATGGAAGAAAAGAAAATACTCAAAAGTGCTAGTCAAGAGGAATGGTGCTCAGTTGGCCAAGGCAGAGGCAGGATTAGGCCATTTATTTTGTCTGCAGCTTCTGTTTGGCTGTAGCTGGCGCTCACTTGCCTCATAAAGGATGATCACGTTCTCATGCCAATGCTGGGGTGCCACAGTACTGAGCTTGTTTCGTTTTCTGTGATGACAGTGGCCTTGGGGTTCAGGCTGGGGCTGAATGCTGCCAGTGCAGGTCTCCAAGCTCTGACTATTGGGGCTGAATTCCCCAGGCTTCTGTGTGCCCTAAGACAGACGTGCCTGTGCTTTGGTGGCACGAGCTCAGTGTCCTTGCTGTGATTGCAGGAGACTGTGGGGAACATGCTGTCTGACAGGACTGCTGAGCTCGTCAGACGCCGAATAGATACCCGTGGTGACCACTCACTCGACCATTACAACTTCTTGGAGTCCTTCTACAACCACAGCTACAAAAGCAGGGGCACAAGCCACATCTCTGTGCTTGCCGCAGATGGCAGTGCCGTGTCCGCCACCAGCACCATCAACTTCCCGTGAGTAGCCAAGGCGTTGGCAATCGGGTCACATATAGGCCATGTACCAGGTTCACAGGGTGCCTGCAAGGGCTGTTTACCAGAAATGCACACCTCTTGGGCTTCACTTGATTTAGGCAGTCCCTTACTCGTGGAATGCCTTTTTCATGTGACAGCAAAGGTCTTTGAGCATCAGCCCAAAGGAACATCGTAATTCACAAAGATGTAACAACTTGCTGAGCTCTGCTGAGTTTCTGTGGGTTGGGCAAATCCCCACATGCACTAGTAACAGGGAGCTTATCTCTGGCTCCAGCACAGCAGCACAAACACCTTTTGGACACCCTAGCTGGGCCAGTTGCAGGCTGGGAGGAGACAGAGATAACCCACAGGGTGCCACATTCAGTTAATGTTATCCACAATAAGAATGCACTGGGCACTGACAAGCTACTTCTTTCCCCCCTGCAGGTTTGGCTCCTTTGTGTATTCTAACCAAACTGGGATCATTTTAAATAACGAACTCGCTGATTTCTGCATGGCAAACAGAAGCATTAAACCAGGTGAGCATTCTCACCCTCAAAATAAAACACAGGGCCAGGAGATGGATATGCAGGCTGTGTACAAGTGGGCAGGGACTGTCTGTAAACTGCAGACCCTTTCCTAGGTCTGGATGAGAGCAAATTTGTTTTAACTAACAGAGGACAAAGCCCTCTAGTGTGTCTGTCTACTCACATATGCCCTTACATGGAAACATGGGAGTTTTGTCTTCTGACCAGGGAAATCAGAGATTAAAAAAAAAAAAAAAAAAAAAAAAGATGAAGCTGATCATTCATTGATGGGGAGGGGAGGGAAGAAGCTTGCTGACTTTTTAGGCTCATCTATGAAAAAATATATAATTGCTGTACAATCAGTAATGCTATAGGCTTACAATTAGTTCTGTAACACAGCAGTGTTGATGCAGTGTTGCTGCTCTGTGAAATAAGCTATCCCTGATGCAATCTCCCTTGGGTCTGCTGTGAGAGAGAACATCAGTACTGCAATGGCAGGATTGCTGCTAATGGTTCCTCTGCTGGGTTAAATGAGCTGCAGCAAGTCCTGAATACTTGTAGGATGCCCTGTCCTGCACCAAGAGATGCTTCCTTTTTAACCTGTGCCATAAAGGTCCAGTTTCTTGTGACATGTGTTCCCAGCACAAGGAAGCTAGTTTTCTGGAAGACTTGAGCTTCTTGAGAAATGAGCAGCAACTTGGTTTGCTATGGGGAATGCAAGAAGGGTGAGGTAGATAAACTTGTGTCTCTCCAGCCCCCTTAACAGCCACATGGGAGGAATAATACTTTCTGCCTCTGCTCTAGGAGAGAAGCCTCCTTCAGCAATGGCGCCTTCCATTCTCATCTCCAAGACAGGAGACATGCTGGTGATCGGAGGAGCAGGCGGGACCCAGATTATCAGTGCTACTACTATGGTGAGTAAAGAGGTACCACACAGTAACGCCTTCCACTGAGCAAGGGGAGCACACACTGTCCTGAACAAAAGGAATAAATTTATTGCTGCTAGTACTGCTATGTGGAAGGCAGCAGCGAAGAGGGCCTGCTGCAGACTCAGTCTATCCTCGCCTTCTTGCCTGTAGCATTTCTGTGGTAAGGACAGGGGCTAGCTTCAGCTCTGTGATTGAATTGCACTACCGCCAGAAGGGAACAGGAATGGAGGAGGTCGAGAACCCACAGCAGTCGCCAGTTCTTTCAGCCCTTCCACATTTCCAGCCATGATCGGTCCCACCTGCTTTTTCTACTCAGCTCTCCTCAGGTCTTAACTCCTCAGTACTTTGTTTTATTTGCAATTTAGAAGTCACTAATGGCTGCTGGTTGGAGGCCAGAGCAAGTGCCAGCCGTCTCGCTCAATTCTTTTTTGAAAGGCAAGAAGTTAGATTAATTAAATAGCAAGCTGAGGAAGTTATTAGGAAGAGAGGCATTGCCCAAAACTTTGGGACCCCAAAAATAAACTGATAAGCTACATGATGGAAAGAACAAAAAACCCAGAAAACCACCACCACACATACACACAGAGTAACAAACCTTAATGAAAAAGAGCTTGCTGAAGCATGAAGTCTAACAAACATCTTGTTCAGCAATCAAGAAATAAAAGCAGATAAGGCCACAAGAGGAAAAAGAAGATTTTTTTTTAATTATTATTATTCGTCTTTCTTCAACTGGAGAGAAGCATGGGAAGGAGTCCATGCTAGGACCTGATCTGAAAACAGAAAGAACAACCCTCAGTAGAAAGATATAAGATCCATCAGTAGCTACTGAATTCAAGGACACCTCTTTGGCTCAGGGAAGGCATTCTGAGAAGTATCATTGTGTGCTCGCTCTATTCTTATACATGCCCTGAGCATCTGCTATTGGTCACCATGAAGACAGGAGACCAGGCTAGCAGGACTTCTGGTCTGACTGAGTCCACGTTTGCACCATCCTGCAGGCAGGATTTATAGCAGAGCTGGTCTGGCTTAACACCAGTGTGGAGGATGGCAGCATGTGAGTCAGGTTCTTATTCAGTATCTCCAGTCAGTCAGTGTGGAATTTGTTTCATTGCAGGCGATTATAAACAAGCTGTGGTTTGGCTATGACTTGGAACATGCCATTTCAGCTCCCATCATGCATACTGAAGGTGCCAGTATCCTGTTTGAGAAACATTTCAGTGAGGTGAGTGGCCTCGCTTGGATCTTCTTGTCTTCTCCTTTTGGTGAGAAGGAGATTGCTTCTGCAACTCTCCTGAATAATCTGTATTTTGCTTCTAGCTAACCTCCTTCTTGCTTAAATCTCACTTTCTCAACCTGACCCCGCATACACATCCTTCATTTTCACACCTGGCAACACCAAGACCTCAGGCCCCTGCCCCATTCACTCCATTTCCTCTTCTCTCCCCTCTACAGGAGGTTAGGAGCGGCCTGCTGAGAAGAGGACATAAAGAAAAGTTAAATGAACTTGCAGTGAATGTTGTGCAGGGAATTTCCAAGGAAGGAAAATGCATCTCTGCTTACTCTGATAAAAGGAAGCTGGGGAAGTCAGCTGGATATTAGCATGAAATGCCATCACAACTCACAAAACCACAGAAGATAACTAGATTCAGAACATGCTTTGGCTTGGACACGTCAATATTGCCTGTTCCCATCAGGATGCCTCCTAAAGTATGGGCAAAACTTGCGGTTGCATCTAATTCCGGTAGACTGCAAGTCACCCTCAGGCAATACAAGGATAGGTCAGCCAGCCTTGTTTAGAGCTATGCCCTCCATTACTTATGTGATATATGGAAAAACGTATTTCTTGAGCACATCAGGTGTTGAGAATAAGAATACAAAGTGGGAAAGGAAAATTGGTCCAAACCCCACTGGGAACACTGTGAAATAGCCCAGCTGTATCTTCCATTCCTGCTGGAGAGTCTCAGTTAAGAGCAGAATTGGTTTCTTTCAGGCTGTTGCCACAATAAGCTTATTATCACTGGGCTCAGCAATGTGAAATAAGTAACTATTTTGGTTATGAGGATTACAAGAAGTGTCTATAGGGTCAGGGTTTTAAAATCTTAAGCATGCAGGCTTAGAGGGTGGGTTTGGAAAGGGAAGAGAGCAAAACTCCACACTCACCCTCTTGATTTTCCCATCCAAAGAAGCCCTACTTTTCCCAAAGGTGGCAGATGAAATCAGTGCAGCGTAGCACAAGACTGCTGCCCTACTAATCTCTGCCTTGGGGATGCAAAGGACCCCACAAACTCAGAGTAACTGCACCGAAGCTTCCTTCAACCCTGCACGCTGGTGACTTTGAGAATAAGCCTCCCATGGGGCGATGTGAATTCCCAGCTCCTGGGATGGACAGGCTTCAGCTTAATTCCCTGGGGGCACCTCTCCCTGTGGCGAGAGGAGTCCCAATCTGTGCCAGCTCTCCCTCCTCAATGTAGGCAGAAGATAAGTCGTTTGGGAAGGCGGGTGAGGATTGCAGTGGAAGAGCCTTTGGTTTTGAAAGCTTTATAACTTTCTTCAAAATGCAAAGGATACATGATCAGAAGACTTCTTTGTAGCCACGAGCTCAGCCTGGCCCCACAAACACCAGGACTGCTGAGAAGTGATGCGGCGCTAATCAGGTATTAGCAGAATACTTTTCTCCCACAGCCTAAGGACATGCTCCAACTCCCTGTTTACCACAACTAGTCTCTAGCGTTCCCTTAAGATCACAAGGAGGAAATGGTAGGACTACTTAAGAACTATCACAGAGAGAGAAAACTTCTGGAAGAGAGACCTGAACTCATGCATCTGGACACAAAAGATCTTTTGTAGTTACTCCATAACCTTGCCCTGCTCAAAGTGGCCAGGAGAATCAAACATTTAAGAAAAAAACCCAAACACACCAAAAAACCAACCCCAAAACCAAAACAACCCCCAAAGCTCTTCTCAAATACCCAGGGGTAAGTTCCCACAATCCCCAACAACTCTATTTTCCGAAAGCTTATGAGCTGTACTTCCCTGTGGACACAGACAATATTGTGTGTGTGTTTCTGAAAGTGAAGCCAAACCAGAGCAAGGCACCAGCAGAGCCCCCTCCCCTTCACACATTGGTTCTTACCTCACACACAGCCCATGGTATTCCTAGTACAGAAACAAATAAAATCCCTCTGTAAACAAGTATTTGAGCACACACTATTAAAAAACCAAATCAAAACAAGGCCATCCACACACACCCTTACAAACAAGGCCAGACAGGTTTTAAGTCTACTTTTTTACCCACAAAGTCTATCCAATAAAGCCATAGACTTTTTGAAGTCTCAGCCTTCACTTGCATTTTAACGATGGTCTGAGTGAAGCTGACTAGAACCAGATGTGTGTTTTCCTTCAGAAATCGTACACTGAAGACCGTATAGTATGACCACAGCTGTATCAGAGCTTAATGAAAAAGTATTCCTAAGTTACCAGATCATTACCGCAAGCACTTTAATCATGCATCTGGAAGACAAATTACTTATGTATAGAGCCAGCTCCATGCACTGCCCCCCTCCTTCCTCGTCCAAGTAGAATTTATATTAAATCCCCTAGTTGAGGAGGGACTACTGGTTTCTTCATCAGAGCTGCTTACTCAAGCCATAGAATTGGCCCAGCATCCTGTTAGACAGCATGACAGCACTGCTGAATGGGAATAGAGAAAGGGAATAGGCCTAAAGTTTGGGGAGTGGGTGGGCAGTATTTATGTTCATTTGGAAGGGGTTACGTTGGGGTTTTTGGTAGTCATCTTCAATCTACGTCATTTGCTGAAGTTTTCTACTTTCATTAACTCCCTTACCTCAGCGACCAGTTCCGGGGTGCATTGGTTCTAGTGTCAGAAATAACACCCCAACTGCAGAGTTCTCACGGGGGAAGCACTTACGGGCACCAGACACCAGCTGTGGCTCACATTTAGGACCAGACAGATAAACTAGACCGGATGCTGGCTTTAGCAAGATCTGTAGTTATTTCTAGCTAGCCCAACTGAGTTTAGTTTACAAAAAGCAACCGAGAATGGCACTGGCTGGAGATGGGGAGAGCAGTTCTTGCTTCCCTATTAGGCTTCAGAGCAGCCCTCAGCAGTGCCCCGGGCCATACTTTATCATGTTTCGCTAGCAGAAAAACCAAGTCACCAGGTAACTAAGTCTCCAAGTACCTTCACTTCTGACATACCTTAGGGTAAAGCACACCTCAGTAATCCAGCCTATCACCTTTCCAGTGCAGTACTATCACAGCTACTTCCCATCACGAAAACATAGGAATGTTATCTGTAGTCCAGCGCTCACTGCAGTTTAACTACTTCGCTACTAACATTGAAACTGAGCCAATTAAGCAGTTTTAAAACCCATCACAGCTTTCATTCGCAAGACAGAAAGGAATGAGAGTGCAGATCTCTCACTGCAGCAGGGACTTCCAGTCCTGTAATCCTCACTAGCACAACGTCTGGTGAAGCTGAGGGATTGTACCTCCCTTAGCACCTCTGCTCTTGCCCTGCCACCTCCTCACTGCTGCTGAAATTTGCTTGGGTCAAGAGCTCCCAGTGTGATCTTTCGCCATTCATGCTCATGCCAACAGGAGAGCATTATTTTTGTACTTAGTCAACTTACATGGACTTTAAAAGCATCACTGTACAGAGGCTGCTCTATTTTCTAACAAAGTCTTTAAATTATATTTTTAATAAAGTGTTTTTAAACCTGTCTGGGAATTTCTCCTCTAAAACTGTTGCCTAGCCTAACACACAAGCAGTTGTTTGAGAGAGGACTTTCACACAGGTGTTTGCAGCAGTAACAGTTGTTCATTCTGGAGACTCAGTACGCCGCTGGAGAAACCGAAGAACCGTGCAGAAGACTGTATACACTACTTGTCTCTAACAGGGTGGTTTTGGCATTTCCCTGTAGCCCTTCCAGAGGCTGCACTGTTGCCAAAAGAAAATTGTGGTAACGTTAGACTGAAGGACAGGGGAAAGAGGTGAACCTTCCAGTTCATGATCTGAATTGCCTTTTAACAGTACAGCTCCCTTTAAAATCAGCTGGAATGGGTCATGGCAACACGTCCTATTCTCCATACCCTGCGTTGTTTCAGGCAGCTTACACTAAGACATTACGTCTTTGCTCAGAAGCTGGGGGGGTGGGTGGTTGCATTCAAAGGGGTGGGACACGAGCAGAAAGAAATCTTTTCTTGTAGCTGAAACATCCAGACAAGCTGAATAGCCTGCAGAGTGCAATCAGGAGGTTTTACAGTATGAACCACTGACTGACATTTGCCTATTGATACACAGACAGCCTCAATGTCGTGTGAGTAGTGGAATGTGGTATCAAAGCAGGTGGCAGAAATGCATGCCCTATGTACAAATATGTCCAAATGAGATGTAGATAATTACAGCATGCAGAAGTACCCATAGTTTGTTTTTTTTTTAAAAACATGTAGGATGTAAATGCAAGCTTTAGCCCAGTTTAGTTTTAACAAATCAGTCCTCTATAGTGATACTGCTAAAACAAACAAAAAAATCCATTTCTGCAGAGAGTCAAGAATTCAAATGCATTTATAAGACTAGTTTTCCACAGAAGTGTTTTTAGCCATGGCAAAATCTGAGCTTTCCATAAGGGAAGTTTTGTAATACAGATTATAAATAATAGGGAAGTTTTCTGACTAGCTAGAAGAAATTCAGGAACACAAGTAAGACTGCTGTACCACAAACTGTTAGAAGCAGCCCAGCAGCAGTTACTCAAACTTGTTTCAGAAAGCATGTTTGTCCAAAGCTGTTTCCCAGAAAACAGTTACCTTCCGCTTTCAGAGTGCAAGTTTTTTCTGTTGTAGTTCAGACTAACTATAGTGACTGTAAGGTTTCAATAAGCTTATTTTGCTGCACAATAATTTTGTTTTTATTTCTCAGATCACACTTGGCCAAGAAAGCTCAGCCAGTCCTAAGTCCAAAGGACCAGGTATTTCCAACACAAATCAGCTGATGCTGTTCCATACACAAAGTTGTATCAAAAGTTCCTAAAATGGCCTACAAACTGGATTTAAACAGCAGCCTCCCACTGAGTGGCATCTATTGTGGAATTACAAGAAGTAGAGAAGTCAAAGTTTCAGTTCAGCAATGAAAGGATACATGTTTGGCCCCAAATTGATCTCATTCTTAAAGGAACGCAATGACTCTAGGTTATTTACAATCACCACCTTAGCTGCACCTAACACATCATCATCAGTAACAGCTCAGGAAAAAGGAGCAGAGAGCATATCCCAGGCAACTTTTGGTAAAAGCCACTCATTTAGTGGAAGTGATATAATATATATGTCAGTCATGACTCTGATCTAAGCATGATCTAGCTATCACTTTATTCCTTGGAACTAGACTGTCTCAATTCCAGAAACTACTGGGAAAGAGAGGGTGCCTGATGCCTAAAATTTCATCCTTTCAGTTTCTCTTCAATGCATTCTGTATTTTAAGGTTCTTAGAAACTGACAGGAAGTTTCAACAAGCCAAACAGATGAGTTCAGTTAGTTTTACTTGTGTTTCAAGCATTTCATAAACATCCCTAGAGCTTGACAACATCCTGGAACACTGGGTTTTGATCTTAGGCTAAGTTTATCTGATGTGATGTCCATGCTGGTAGGTGAACACCAAAACTCCCTCATGCATAGGTACAGACACTCTTAGCTGTTCCGTACCAGCTATGGATTTCTGAGAGGTCATTAATTGTCTGATTAATGGTAACTTACCTTCAAACAAGAGTAGCTGCAGTGTGCCCTTTTTTAGATGTGCCATTTCCTCAGACTCTGGCATTTCAGGCCTGCAGTATGATGTGGCAAAAAGCAAACTGGAGAAAAACAAGCTTGTTTTGGATATTTAACTTTTTTTTTTTTTTTAACTCATAGCTTCATCAAAGGAGTGAAGAAAAGAGAAAAATCTCAGGAGAGCTTCTTTCATGCAGACTCTCGCCATCCCTTTTCACAGTAGCAACTGTGCAGGCAAGAAAAATGTGTGACTCCATATTTATTTATTTTAGTTGTGCTCAGAGTTTTACAGGTAGCATCTTCCCTTTAGACCTTCTCAACAGAAATATAAAAAAGTTTGAAGCCATTTCCCCATTTACCCACTCAGCTCCAATAATCAACTGAAGTGAAAAGCAGAAGCATCTTTTGTTAAAAGAAAGAGCGGTGAGTTTGTGAAGGCTTATCCCAGTCTAGAGCTGGGCTTCCTGCTATGGCACAGATCTATTAGTTTGTAACTTACAAAACCCAGTCCTCAGAGTCCTGTAACTCCCATCTACTCAACAGGGAACAAAACTCTTCTCTAGCGGTGCCAGGGAGCTGACGCTGTGCAGGGGAAACACCTCCTGCAGATGAGCGAGCTGGACCTTCTTCACAAACTCTGGATACCCAATCTGTCTTCGTGGGATGGAGAGGAGGCAGGGCACAAGCTCTTCAAGGCAGAACAGGCTCTTCAAGTAAGTACTGCATGTCCTGGTAGACGTGCCTGTCTTAGCAAACTGCTGTGGCATGAGGCACTGCGGTCATGGCTGTAGAGAACTGTCCCAGCTCTGTCAACAGAACCACAGGTAAATTTGTTCTCTTTCGTGTGAGAAGTCCCTGAGTTGCAGACCTAAAGGATCTTCCCCCCAAACACACCTCAGTGTCACTAGACCACTGAAAAAAGGAGCCGAGCCACATCAGTATCCTGCAGGGAAGCCACCTTTCCGGGAATCGGAGGCTGCAGCCCATCCTTCATCTG